TTTTAAAACTGACTTCCCATTCATTACAACTTTCTGATTGTATACATCGTGGAAAATGAAGCTCCAAAACATAATTATTCGAGCATTCATTACCGTATGACGGTAATAGGTTAATCCTTGAACGCAAATTACCTTAAATCTTAATACACGAGACTATTTTTGGGAAGATTATATAAAAAAAACAACGTGGAACGGCTGTTTTAATAAAAACAGATAAAGTGGAATTCTGTGGGAAGTTTTTTATCAAAGTTTAACATGCTTGCGGATATAATCGTATATACCATCAAAGGCAAATTCTAAGAAACGTTTCCCATCTCGTTGTGCGCATTTTTAGGACAGAACCAAAGAGTAGCCCAATTTTAAAATTCGTATAAAAATAGTAATTCTGCTGTTCCAAAACTGTCACGTATATTGTTCACATTACTTTCATAGACGTCAGGATAAAACAAGATATATAGAATGACAAACAAACATCTACGTCCAATTCGAAGGACTGGGGACGAGATCCAGAAACCCATGCAAATGTCAAAATTTCTGACAACAAAGTTCCATAGTCGAGATCTTTTATTTTAAAACTAACTTCCCATTCATTACAACTTTCTGATTGTATACATCGTGGAAAATGAAGCTCCAAAACATAATTATTCGAGCATTCATTACCGTATGACGGTAATAGGTTAATCCTTGAACGCAAATTACCTTAAATCTTAATACACGAGACTATTTTTGGGAAGATTATATAAAAAAAACAACGTGGAACGGCTGTTTTAATAAAAACAGATAAAGTGGAATTCTGTGGAAAGTTTTTTATCAAAGTTTAACATGCTTGCGGATATAATCGTATATACCATCAAAGGCAAATTCTAAGAAACGTTTCCCATCTCGTTGTGCGCATTTTTAGGACAGAACCAAAGAGTAGCCCAATTTTAAAATTCGTATAAAAATAGTAATTCTGCTGTTCCAAAACTGTCACGTATATTGTTCACATTACTTTCATAGACGTCAGGATAAAACAAGATTAAATCTACAGTAATATTTTATATTTAATATACAATATTGCATATATGTCTTTTACATTTAGGGTAGCCGTGAGCAAAAAGGTATATATATTTGACATACATAGGGTATATATTATAATTTGAGTGAAACAATTATGTTCTCCGAGCGAAGTTCCCAAAATATTCTCTGAGTATATAAGTGGATAAAAAATACTTAACTCATAAGTCATACGACATGAACCTACATACGATTTTAAAGTTATTTCACGTAGATCGCCAGACCGTTTTTGGAAAGCCATGGACTAATATATACAATTTACGCGATAAAACATAAAAGAATTTCTCCCGAAATCTCAACCTATTTTTCGTCAGCTTCGACAGATCATATATAGTCAAACGATTATAAAAATACAAGTGGATAATACGATTAAGCGAATTTTAAGAAAATGTTAATAAAACTTTATGCTATTTTTGATGTATATATAAACAAGAGAAATATAAAATCTGCTGTGTTGGTGTAATGTACTCAGGTGAATAAGATGTCTGTGTGATGTTACTCTGAGTGTATATCCACACCGGGCAGGCTTGAAAAATATGCCTGGCCACGGCGGGATTCGAACCTACGACCTTTGGAATACTAGCCCAATAGAGAAATATACTATATATCATATACTCACATTTTGGAAAAGCTTTTACAACATGGCGTAGTTTAAGAAGGGAACGACGGAAGACGGAAAAAAATAAGGTCATGATAACGCTGCGCATGTGATGACGCGAATTCTCAATTTCACGAGGTTGTTGTTTTTCAATTTCTTTTAAACGCACAATCAGCGTGGGTGTACCGCATCTGCTGGCGTTAGCGAATTGCGTTGCGAGCACACAAATGAATAATAGCGCGCAATTTCATTTCATCTCAACATCGATATATCGAGGACGGAATCGGATTGGTCGGTTCTAATAAATAACGTCTATTAAATAGGCCGACTTAAGACAGCTTTGAGTTCGGAACACGTACAATTATACATCACAGGCCGACAGCGCCAAGGCAAAGGTCAAGCTAAAGTCAAGCGGACATTTCAACTAAACTAAGATGATTTAGGGGCGGACCATTAGAAAAGTGATGGGGGGGGGGGGCAAAAGCAAAAATAAAAATCGAGCAGGGGAAACAGAAAAAAAATTCGAGCAGGAAAAAAGTTTAAAAAAAAAATTCGTGCAGAGACTTTTCAATAGGGAAAATTATAAGTTGTGTAAGGGTGGCCCCCAAATTTGGAAAATAAAACGTTTTTTGATATAAGTAATGGTGTGAAAAAAATTTTCTAAACCTAAATGTTGCAGATATTGGTGCAGAAAACGCGTTTTAAAGCGTGTTTTAAGAAGAATTTGTCAGGGAAAATGTGTTTTGAACCTTAACTAAACTGGTGTTAGTCCGGAAAATTTTTTTGACCCTTTTTTTATGTCCTGAAAAAATTTTTATGTCCGGAACAATTTTTCGCCATTCGAGCAAGGGATTAGTAAAAAAAAATTATCGACACAAACAAAAAAAAGTTTGAAAAAATAATCGTAAATTATAATATTAAAATGTTGCCAATGACGAGATAAACGTGCGAATATAACAATTACATTTACATATGATAAACAACGGACAAGAAAACAACGGGTAAAGACCACTAAACTTCACTTAGTAACATTGACATTGACCCTTAGCAACGTGTATGTTTCAACGGAAAAACAATTACCGGGAATTAAAGCGCTGAAACGGTAGTTTCGAAATCCGCAGTACTATGGAGTAGGGATTCGATGATGCAATCGCAAATTCCAAAGTTTTTTTCCAGTGTATACTTGTAATTGTAACTTTCTCCATATAAAACTGTTCTTACCTGGGAGGATATTTCTCTCTTCTAAATCGTGTTTACTTGGTCTCTGATTCAGTTTTGATGCCAAGCTGTCTCTTCTTTTCAACTTCGATGCCCATTCTGAAACGAGAACACCCCTCCAGTGAGCTTAAGATTGACGTTTGTAGCACATCCCAAGCTTCAAGTCGTAATTTGATTGGGGAGGTTAACTGTTAGCACAATATGTGTATTAAATATTGAAGATGAATTAGAAATTTTGACTTAAAAATGTTGCTTGTGCATGTTAATCTGAGTGTGCATCCAACAGGCGTTTAGCCAGGATCCTAAAAGAGGGCGTCCAATTTTGACATAACAATAGATCTACATTCATATAGATAGATCTACGATCATTCTGAGCATATTTCCACTATTTTCGGTGTGTGAAAATAGCAAAAAAAACCCAAATATCGAATAACCGATAATTAAGAACCCCGATACAGGCTTTTAGCCAGGGTCCTAAAAGAGGGCGTCCAATTTTGACATAACAATAGATCTACATTCATATACTGTAGATAGATCTACGATCATTCTGAGCATATTTCCACTATTTTCGGTGTGTGAAAATAGCAAAAAAACAAATATCGAATAACCGATAATTAAGAACCCCGATACAAGCTTTTAGCCAGGGTCCTGAAAGAGGGCGTCCAATTTTGACATAACAATAGATCTACATTCATATAGATAGATCTACGATCATTCTGAGCATATTTCCACTATTTTCGGTGTGTGAAAATAGCAAAAAAAACCCAAATATCGAATAACCGATAATTAAGAACCCCGATACAGGCTTTTAGCCAGGGTCCTAAAAGAGGGCGTCCAATTTTGACATAACAATAGATCTACCATAAGAGGGGTGGGGGATTAGAGAAAACCGTTCCTCTGGAAAACCGTTGAAGTTTATGTTTCTTCATGTTAGTATCTTTCCAACCTCGTTTGAAAATTTTCAAACACACTTGGCTTTGTGAGTTTGTGCCGCTATGCTTCTTTACTTAACTACGACATTTTCATTCAGCCAGGTACACCATCAAATTGATCAAAATGTCAAATGTACAATAATAATAATGAGAATTGAAGCTATTTCGTTTCGGATATGTTAATATACTTAGGGAATCATTGAAAATAATTTCCCTTTCCCCCCAGAATTTGGGCGTCCAAAGGCGTCCACGTTTTGTTCTAAGGGCGTGCCAGGACGGACGCCCTTCTGGCTAAAAGCCTGGCATCCACACCGGGCAAGCTGAAAAGTTTGCCTGACCAGGGTGGGAAACGAACCCGCGACCTTTGAGATACTAGTCCAATGCTCTGCCAACTGAACTACGAGGTCAAGTCGGTAAGAAGATATTTTGTTAAAATTCCCTGGTGCTGCTGGCGCTGGTGGACATTTTCTAGCAGTGACCAAAGACTTACGTAAAACAATGCCATTGAATTCCTCCTCATCCTCAGATTCAGTAGTGGAGTTTGCGCCGTGATCACTCGAACTATCATCATCTTCTGCAGGATCGTCGCGTTTCACATCGCGATACGATACGTCACATGTCTGTACAGTCACCACTCTAAATGATATACCAACATTAAGAAATGTCATGTTTCGCTCGCTACTCTGGTTTAAATAAATGATTACAAAGCCCAGTCGAATTGTAATCAAGATTTAAGACCCAACGTTTCGACACTCCAGTTTAGTGTCTTCATCAGGGGTGATCTAAAACTGCAATCGTGGCTTCTTAAATACCCAAGGGATGACGTCACCTGCCAATGAGATGCATGTATTCCTCTGGCAAATAGGCACCGTCATCCCTATTCAAAGCATGATTACTCATATTTATATGCCACGCTTCTAGGCAAAGTCTTTGACCATAGCGATTGTTTGTGGTAATTACTTTAGAGTTTTTCCCACGCAATCTCGTGTTTGGTGTAACATACATGTTCTGCTAAAGCTGATTTTCCCTTGTCTAAAGTTGAAACAGCCTTTTGATGTTCTTTTTGCCGTGTACCAAACTGGCGTTTAGACTGACCCAAAATTCATTAAGAAATGTTATACTGGGTGTCCAAAAAAAACCCGGACATTGTTTGATTACATGTAACGTAAAAGCTATAAAAGCTATCGCAATGAAATCAAGATCATTGCATTCAGAAAGGACTAACTTAGATTTGGATATATAACATTTGAATTTACATGCAATATTGAGCGAGATACAACCAAAATAAAAATATTTATTATTTAACAAGTAGAACTACATCGGTAATTATAAGGTTGTTTTATGCTAATTTTTGGCATTTTTAAAAACAGTAGTTCAACGTTCAAACATCGATAGTGCAGTCAATATTGCATGTAAATTCAAGTGTAAAATATCAAAATCTAAGTTAGTCCTTTCCACCAGTTTTTGGGGGACACAACATTTACAGCCCTCGAAAACGAAGTCGGCATTCGGGGCAATACCACTCAGGTCGACATTTTTTTGCCGACCTCATTCCAGTTCCCAAGACCCATTTCCACTCGGAAAAATTTTCCGCAGAAAAAAAATTTGTAAAATGGGGGATTGGCCGACACAAATTTTCCGTCGGAAAAAAGTTGAAAATTTTAAACTTTTAACAATGATATTTTCGGAAAATTTTCGGGCCGAGAAAATTTTTCTTGAGGGGAAATGGGCCAACACAGTGTGCCGGATAGCTCCCCTTAGCGACGTGAAAAAACACCTATCTGTACCTTTTAGGAACGCTATATTTTATTGCAACGGAGAGATGTTGTTTCGCTCAGCTTCTGAAAGTTGTACATTCCGTATCAGATACGTGCTTTTTCGCGCCGCTATACGGAAAGATATCCCGTATAGTGGAAACGTAGACTCAATATAGAGCTATCTTTTTTCAGCTGCCGACAGCAGTTTAAAGAGCCATAGTGTTCGTTCGTTAATCCTTACCAGTCTTACAACTGCGACACCAGACGGTACCTAAATTGTTCGCAGCTTGTAATTCTTTCCTAGTACAGTCAGGGAAACTGCGAGGCTTGTCGAGTAATTCTAATGGAAAGCAGCCGTAAGGATATTAAAAATACGGTCGTGGGAAACACCAAATTTGGATTGTGCCAAGATTTAGACCGGCGGCATTGTTTTGCAGACATCAAATTTGACTTTTTTCGAGGGCTGCATTTGCTGTTGCATCAAAAGAGTTCTGAAAATTGCATCTAGAAAATTGCATTGAGCATGCAGGGCAAGTTTTATTTGTCGAGTTTTATTTCTTAAGAATGGTTTCCATATGGTCATAATGCATGGTCGCAAAAATAGACTGTCACGATCTTTCTCAACGGCCAGTTTATATATATAGTTTATACCTGTAAACCACATATAAATATTCTCTAGTTCTATTTCACTCCGCGTATTTTCAGTTCTAAAATGTTGTATTTCGGCTGATGAGAAAGATCGTGACTCTTTTTACGACCGTTACTACCATATAGAAACCACGTACGACAAATTCTCTATGACAAGTCTGACCGCAACGAACAGCTGCGACAATATTCAATACTATATATCGCTGGCCAACTGCATACAAGTGTTCAAATTATGTACTTCGCCAAATTTTGTTTGTTGACCCGCACAGAAAAGGAATATTTGTGCTTTTTTTCTATGCAAAATGTAGCCTGCGAGGCATGCTCTTAAAACGCACTTGTTAAAATACGTCAAACGCACTTTGCAAAAACACAAATTGGAGAGCTAATACTAGATTGTTTTGGTTGCCTTAGTAGTATTATTAAATAAACATGATAGTTTGATAAATATTTGTACTTTTTTCTATGAAAAATGCACTTCTTAAAACACGTCAAATGCATTTTGCAAAAACACAAATTAGAGAGCTAATATACTAGATTGTTTTGTTCGCCTTAGTAGTATCAATAAACATGATAGTTTGAAAATCACCTGGGATCATTACCCAGCCTGCCATTGGCCTGTACTTCATTTGAATCTTCCTCTTCAACTAGAAATAAGACGTTGAGGAGAAAATAAACAGCATAAATGATAGAAGTAAAGTGAGAACAATCGCTTATTGCGTTTAAACGTGAACTTAATTTGAAAACTTTTCCTTTGGATTTTAATTATACTTATTTTTAATATAATCCTATGTATATATTCTACTACTTATATTCAGGGATGGATTTACTGGGTGGGTGCGGGGGGGGGGGGGGGG